TATAGGCGCCGAGCCAATATTTTTAGGTTTTATGGCTAAAAACCTAAAAGAGGAAAAGAGGTTCTGGGGAAAAGTGGTTCTGGTTCTTATGATCTGCCTTGGGGAAGAAGGATTCTAGTTTCTGTGGCTTAGCCACAGGGGAGAATGGAGACAGGAGAGCAGGGAAAGAGAGAAATGATTGCTTCTAAAGCCTAATAGCAAGGGCTGTGAGAATTATAGGCCAGGAACTGTGGGCAAAAACGTGAAAAAGCACACATATATGGCATATAGATGTATGTACATATATATGTCGATGTCATAGTGGCACAGCAAGTACACTCGTGTCTTGGGACCATCACCACTATACAACTCCAGACCCTTTTCATTTTCCTCAGCTGAAACTGTCCCTTCTGTCCCCCAGCCCCTGGCACACACCATTCTACCTTCTGTGAATCTGATGGCTCTGGGGGCCCCCTGTGAGTGGAATCACAGTATTTGTCCTTGTGTGACAGGCTCATTTCACTGAGTACAATGTCTTCAAAGTCCATCCACACTGGAGCATGTGCCAGAACTCTCTTCCTTTTTAAGGCTGAACAATATTTCATTGTATGGACAGACCATGTTTTCTCTACCCAGGCATCTGTTGACAGACACCTGAGTTGTTTCCACCTTTTAGCTATTGCTGCTATGAACACAAGTGTGCAAATGTCTTTCAGTCCTTTTTAAAATTTTTTTTGTAGTCCTGCTTTTAGTTCTTTTAGAGAACCCATAGCTTTGAGGATAAAATTCTAGAACAGCATTGTTAGATCACATGCTAATTCTATGTTTAAGTTTATAAGGAACTTCTAAATTTGCAGCATTTTACATTTCCACAGTTCACAAGGGTTTAAATTTCTCCAAATCCTTGCTCACACTTGGTATTTTCTGGGGGGTTTTGGGTTTTGTTTTTTACAGTAGCCATCCTAATGGGCTGTGATATGATCTCTTTGTTTTCATTTGCACTTCCCTAGGGATCATAACGCTGAGCATCCTTCTATGCATTCGCTGGGGATTTGTATGTCCTCTTTTTTTTTTTTTTTGAGACAGAATCTCACTCAGTCATCTCCATGGCATCATGGCTTACAGCAAACTCCTGGGCTTAAGCAGTTAGTTCTCTTGCTTCAGCCTCCCAAGTAACTGGGACTACAGGTGCCCACCACAGCACCTGGCTATTTTTTAGAGACAAGGCCTCACTCTTGCTCAGGCTGGTCTCAAACTCGTGAGCTCAGGCAATCTACCCACCTCAGCCACCCAAGTGGTATGATCACAGGTGTGAGCACTGCACCCTGCCTCTTTGCCCATTTTTAAAATCAGGTTGCTTTGTTGTTGTAGAATTACAAGAGTTCTTTATATATTCTTGGCCGGTATGGTGGTTTAAACCTATAAGTATCCCAGCACTCTAGAAGGCCGAGGCGGGTGGATTGGTTGAGCTCAGGAGTTCGAGACCAGCCTGAGCAAGAGCAAGACTCCATCTCTACAAAAAATAGAAAAACTAGCGAGGTGTTATAGTGGGCACCTGTAGTCCCATGTGTTTGGGAGGCTGAGGCAAGAGGATCACTTGAACCCAAGAGTTTGAGGTTGCTGTGAGCTATAATGCCACCAGACTCTAACCTGGGCAATAGAGTGAAACTCTGTCTCCAAAAAAAAAAAAAAAAAAGAGTTCTTTATACATTCTGGATATTAATCCCTTGTCAGAGATACAGTTTACAATTTTTTTTACATTCTGTGGATTGTTTTTTGAATCTGTTGGTTGTGTTCTTTGATGCACAGAAATTTTTGATTTTGATATAGTCCAATTTATCCATTGTTTTATCACCTGTGATTTTGGTGTCATAGTTAAGAAATCATCATGATCATCATGTTCCTTGTACTTGACCCAAGAAACAAAGATAAGACATGTTTGTTGCTGTTTCAAGCTACTGTAATTTCTTACTGGGTCAAAGGTAGCTGATGCTATGAGGCCTCTTCCCGCAGCACTACAGTACAGAGTGATTACTCTCCACCCCCACCGCCCCAGCTGCCAACACCATCACACACACTGGATCTTCTCCTAACCAGGCTCAACCTGGCTGGTCCATCCCAGATCCACAGCCCCACCTAGAATCCTCCCCACATCCTGGCCTGCTCCACCCACCAGCCACTATCTGCCCCTGCCAGACCAGCACCCACATCTGCTACACCCAACCACAGTGCCTGGGTCTCTGCCCTCATCCTCCTCGTCCATCCTGCCTTTCATCGCTGCTGTCCTTGCCATGGTCAGCAGATACCATCTCAACAGATGCCCCACCCAAGGTCATCATGCAGCCCCCACCTCAGCCTCCTTCCTCCTGTTCATCTCCCTGACCCCACAGTCTGCCCAGGTCCTCACTTTTGACCCAGCTCCCTTCTCCATCCCCCCACCCCAGTCTCTCTAGCTCCTAGTTTCAAATGCCTTCCAGCACTTCTCAGCCAACCTCCACCCTTGAACACACCACCACTTGACTCTTGGTACCCAGGTACCCCCAATCAGAAGCTCCCACAACCCTGTAGTCACTGTTCTTGCCCTGAAGTGCAGAGGCCCCATCATTCTAGCATCACAGCTGCTCCCCTTGGGCTGGTCCCAGCACAGCTCCAGAGGGACCTGAAGTCCTGTCCCATCCCTTTTCTGCTCCCAGCTCCCAGCTCCCAGGAGCTCAGTGAAGCCTGGGTCCCAGTGGGAGGCTATACTGAATCCAGGGGTCCCGCTGCCTCCAGACCTCAACTGCCTCTGATGCTGACATTTGGTCTTCTGCCTGGGGGCCTTTCCATTGGCCATAGTGCCCTGCTTGGTCCTTCCTCCCTGAGGCTTTGCTCATACTTCCCTGATCCCAGCCCTGTCCTCCCAGCCTATAGCCTCACCCACAGCTTGCTCACCCCTCCTCCCTCCTGCAGATGCCCCACATGGCCTAACCTGCTATGTTCCTCCCCAGGCCCAGCTGGGTTAGGAGCTCAGGTGTGAACTTGGTAACACTTCCTGTGAGGCAGACTCTGGCCATCAGCATTATGTTCAGCCACTGTGGGGTCCATCATGCCACCCATTTTGCTTTCTGCATCTCCCTGCCTGGTCAATGTCCAGCTACAGCAAGCCTCCTGGAGCCTCCCCATGCATCCATCTGGCATGGACTCTTCAGGGCAGTTCCCTTACCTGCTGAGCCCCTAACACAGTCGCCTGTCCCTGAGGTGGGGGTCCTGGAAGAGGGTCACCCCTGCCACCCACCAGCCGGA